TAGGTTAGTTGACTACAGACGTGTAATGCAAATATATTTGTTCGTAGTGGTGAATGTGTCTGAGTGGCTGGTCGAGTTGATCATGGATGTGCTAGTGCTAGGACACAATGGCAGGATCACTTGAGTCATTTTCTCATTTATCATTGTCTCTTATTTTAATGTGTAGCTGTTGATTTTGTTGCTATTGGTAACGATCATGATCCAATATACAGTGAAATTGGAACGATAATAGTAGTATTATTGTCGGAAATAATGTTGATAGGGAAAGGACACAGGATTTTGTCAATGTGCCTAATATTTGAATGTGCGAGCAGGTTTGTGTATTGCATTTTGGTTGACACAATGTGTTGTGTTTTTTATGTTGGGATACTTGTGTAGTAAGTGGCTGAAATATGAGTGACTTGAGGCTGGCGGACATGAGAACGAACAGATTTACAGAAGAAAATTTTCAGAAATTTGGCACTCAGGTCAATTCATTAATCAGCAAAACACATCGACAATGACCCGATATATAAGCTCACCACAAAAATCATAGGCGATACAGGATCAAAAGAAAAACAGATCAAAAGGGGGATACAATCAATACAAAAGTTCAATCAACGAGGGGTGTAAGGTCAACAGCAACCAATGAAGATCGAGGTTAACTGAACAAGTTATGGGTCAAACTTGGAGAAATTCAAATACTTCACTTCTATGTGAAGTTGGTGCTGATGATGTTGTTCAGAGAACAATGAAAGCTCCACAACCAAAAGATCCAACTCAAAGAACCAAACAACAACAACAACAACAACATATTTGGCAAATTTGAATAGGTGATAAAATAGGATTAATGTGAGTGAGTGAGTGAGTGAGTGAAATGCATGTATAGTAGTTGTATTCAAATGACATATGTATGTATAATTTATTTAGTCATAAGTCTGTTTCTGTGTTTATTTGATTTGATTATTTTTGTATTACCTGTTTGACTATTTGTTTGTTTTTATGATAAATTATGTAAATGAAAGGCAACTGAGCATAGCATTGACTTTCGAAAGCATTTCCTAATTGTCTAATAGTGAAGAAGAAGAAGAAGAAGAAGTTGTCTATGGGAGAGATAGAGTTGTCTGTTAGTATTGTTTTGTTCAATTTCGAATGAATTACTTATTATGATTGTTAGTAATATTATTTGTGTGACTTGTGAATGTACAGATTAATAATTGGTAAGTCAAAGTAGGTGATAAGGTAGGTTTGATTTGAGTGCGCGAGTGAGTGAGTTATTGAGTGATTGAGTGAAATGTATATTTGTATTCATAAACATATACGGATATATAAGGTTAGTAGTAAGATTTGTGTTGGTAAATAAAATTATTGGTAGTATTACTAGTTAGTAGTGGTGAGTATGTAGTGAAATGACGGTCAACACTGTAAATATTTGATTGTGTTAATGTGATTTGATTTGATTTGATTTGATGTTAAATTTGTTATGCATAGGTTAGTTGACTACAGACGTGTAATGCAAATATATTTGTTCGTAGTGGTGAATGTGTCTGAGTGGCTGGTCGAGTTGATCATGGATGTGCTAGTGCTAGGACACAATGGCAGGATCACTTGAGTCATTTTCTCATTTATCATTGTCTCTTATTTTAATGTGTAGCTGTTGATTTTGTTGCTATTGGTAACGATCATGATCCAATATACAGTGAAATTGGAACGATAATAGTAGTATTATTGTCGGAAATAATGTTGATAGGGAAAGGACACAGGATTTTGTCAATGTGCCTAATATTTGAATGTGCGAGCAGGTTTGTGTATTGCATTTTGGTTGACACAATGTGTTGTGTTTTTTATGTTGGGATACTTGTGTAGTAAGTGGCTGAAATATGAGTGACTTGAGGCTGGCGGACATGAGAACGAACAGATTTACAGAAGAAAATTTTCAGAAATTTGGCACTCAGGTCAATTCATTAATCAGCAAAACACATCGACAATGACCCGATATATAAGCTCACCACAAAAATCATAGGCGATACAGGATCAAAAGAAAAACAGATCAAAAGGGGGATACAATCAATACAAAAGTTCAATCAACGAGGGGTGTAAGGTCAACAGCAACCAATGAAGATCGAGGTTAACTGAACAAGTTATGGGTCAAACTTGGAGAAATCCAAATACTTCACTTCTATGTGAAGTTGGTGCTGATGATGTTGTTCAGAGAACAATGAAAGCTCCACAACCAAAAGATCCAACTCAAAGAACCAAACAACAACAACAACAACATATTTGGCAAATTTGAATAGGTGATAAAATAGGATTAATGTGAGTGAGTGAGTGAAATGCATGTATAGTAGTTGTATTCAAATGACATATGTATGTATAATTTATTTAGTATAAGTCTGTTTCTGTGTTTATTTGATTTGATTATTTTTGTATTACCTGTTTGACTATTTGTTTGTTTTTATCATGAGATTTTTGCTCAAAAGTTATGCCACTGAGTTAGGAAATCCGATGGTTTACGCCTTCTAACTTCATATAAGCCGCCGAATATGCTGATACGTCGAGAGTAGAGAGAATCCGCTATCCTTATTCAAGTGCCATCACATGGTCATGCGTATATAGCCACTATTAGGATATTCTCACTTGCTGACTTAGCTTGAAAACATTGAAGTTTACGAAATTGTGAAGACGAATAGCGAATATCAGGCCGATGCTTATAACGGATTGGTGTATATGGACGATTCGCCAAAGGGAGTCAAAAAACCCTAAATTCAAACCAGTGGTCCACATAGGCTACAGGATCTTGAGGACTAGTCAGTCAGTCAGTCAAATGCAACGTAGAACTTCGTACGTAAGTATATACATCAGTCCATGTTGCCATACCACATTAACACAGAGATGTAATTGTCAATTCAAATCCAATAGTAGAAGAGGTAGTAAAGGCATTAGAAGTAATCGGAGAGGTTAGGATTAGAAGATATTATTCAAGAAGTATGATTCAGTGAGATAAGTTTAGAACGACAAAACTAGAGGTGTTGAAGAATCCAGTAACAGCACACGAGACCAAATTAGTCGAAATCAAATCCTTCCTACACCCACACATACCTCTCTTCTCTCTTGACAACTAACTCTACTCACATTCTCCTTATATCTTGAGGATTAGACCTGAAAGTCAAAAAGACTCAAGGGGTGGCTCCCTAAGAAAACTACCTGGTTAGGGTTGAGAACCCAAGCAGTAACTCAACCCAAACAAAAATCGAATTATTTATGTAGTACATAGAATATTTAGTGAAATAAATTTAAAAAGAGAAAGGTAAAGGTGATGAGGAGTTCAGAAGAATAAACGTTGAGAGAATACAAACAATGGATGCCAACGAATTTAACCATGTCTTTCAAGGTCTCTAACCATCGATTACTGCTATCTCGAGACCCCAACCAGGTAGTCTACACTTGCTAACATGAATCAGTACACTTGTCAATGATTTCATGGAGTTGTGACATATTTTGATTTGACCGCCCTTAGCTCTCTTTCAACCTATTACTACATCACAAAACATCACTTGTGGAGGCAGCTGGTGTTTGGGCACATGTAACGCATGTCCCAAGCATATAAGAGATAACAAATTGTAAATGATATCCATTTTACAGTTGCAGACACTGAAATAACGCATCATGCAGTAACACTCTTTTTATAGTTGAAATCGCCAACTTATCTTAATAAGACCACTACTAAAAACCTAGAAGCACTAGACGGATGTTTCAACCTACTGTTGAACCAATGAGCATTGAGTAACTACGAGAATCGAACCCAAACCCTTCGGTTGGCTCAGTAGTCAAGAGGTTAAGCATTCGTGCACGAGACCAAAGCTCCTGGGTTCGATTCCCGTTTGCGGAGGTTAGCGGCTATTTAAGTTATAATGCTGCTACATAGCTATTCAAATCCTACCGACGTCCGAATTCAAATATTTCAATACGACGCAAATACTATGCCCAAATATCCTATATATCAGAACGCAACACCGTTGGATGGAGTTGTTTATTTGGGTCGAGAACAGAAGAGAGGAAGACAGGAATGAATGGAATCATGCAGTCTTACAGATAGTGCGTATTTATACATTTAGGTCGAACAGGAAAGAGCATCGAACTCTGTGATGTTGACAGTGTAGGACGACCAATAGGAAAGAACATTTGAAATGACGTTGACAGCTAAAACGACCATAATTTTGACCAATAGGATTATACTCCCAAAAATAATACTCTTAGGATATTTGGTGAATATCCTAACAATTTAATACTGAAGAGTTTCACACTAGGACGAAACTATAGTCTGATGGTTCGAGTACGTGTACAAATCAGAAGTTCAAGAACAACAATTTGTCTAAAGAATAGTTTTGTAGTTATAGGAAATATACGTAAATAGTTTACACATGTCAACTCACGTGTTAACCTGTAAGTCTGATCAAAACACAAAGAATAATTATAGCATACGGTAGAGTAAATGACAACTACTAGCTAGTTTCTAATACTAACAACAGTTAGGAATTGAGAGCACAAAACTATGGAAGTTGTTGAGAGAAGTCAATTATGATAACAATTTAACAACATATAAACGTGTACCACACATCAAACGTTCAGCAAAAATTATATTAATAAAGACTGGTTACTAAATATTAATAAGTAGTATAAAACGGTTCACAAAATAAAACGAATGGAAAGGGTAAAAAAACACCCATGGGGATAGGTTAGTGGTTATTAGGACCTAACATCTCAATGTATAACTCACTGAAAGTTATATGTTATCAGTTTGTATGCAGATATAAACACTAAGATGTACGCATATTCAGCTGACGAGTGCCAAATAAGATGGCAAAACAGGTCTTGAATGCCACTGTTAACCACAATCTAACTAGTCTGTTGTAGGTGAGCTATTATACCACAAAAAACTACGACAAGAATGGAGAGTTTACCATTAACTCAACATTAAAAAAAATGTGTTTTCATTATTATACTACAAAGAAAAAAAAAACTTACTTAAATGGTCTCTCAGCTAATGATCTTGTGATTGCATTTAAAATCATAGCAATATCATTTAAATTCGATGTTACGCGAGTACTATGCACATGCCAATTTAATTGTAATTCAGCGCATAATTAATTCAATGATGTGTGTGATACGGAATGATTTATTGAGTTTGTTGTTGTTGCTGATGATGACACATACATATTTCAACTCTTAGAACTAACCATGTATTAGAACCAAATAAAAATATCATAATAGGGGTTGTGGAGATTGTCGAGTTACTTTTTGAAATCATGAATCGATCAATGTTAGCTTATCATTAGAAACCAGGAAGTACTGGACAGCTGTTTTCATCTTAGTATGGCACTCCTCAGGGGCAGTGCACTTTCACGACCTACACTCACGGGCATCGAATTTAGGACCTTCGGTCTCGTGCCCAAATGTTTAACATCTTGACTACTGAGCCAGCATCTAATAGTGTAAACGTTTAACTTCAATCAATCTACTCATTATTGACTAGCTTCATGAAGAAATTTTCTAAGTTCTCCTGAAAAGTTCTGATGAATGGTGTTCAACCGTGTCGAGTGTGAATCAGTCACCCACCGACCCGACCGTAGCTGCTACCTTGACGTGGTGGTCGGGCTTGTCTATCGTCATGACCCAGCCGAGCTAAACTGGCTAGAACATATGTTCTTGAAGGTTCTACCATGCCAGGCAGGTCGATTGGAGAACGACGAGACTAAAAGCAGCTACTCAACGTCTGAGGGCGAAGTCGCACTGCTGCCTGCAGAGGGGTGACAGCAGTAGGGTGTTTCCCTCGGACAACCGGCATCTGCAGCGATGCTGCCTTCTCACATACAAGGAAGGGTTAGAAAATGTCAACCCTAAAAATGTCACACCTCACCTACTTCATGGATTTCCGTCTCCGGCGGTAAGGGTGCCCACTAATGGCTTTCAATAGCGGAGCTAATACTCAAAAAACCCTTCATAAAAAGGCCGTGTGTGACCGGCCACAAGCAGTTGTCCCCTGGGCTCTGCAGTCACGCACCCAGGTCTCTAAGACTAACGCTAATCTGCCTTTCTTTTCAGGTCCCTTCAAGAAACAACCTTCCAAGGTGTGGGCAGCCGGGAAGTGACAACCACCCTCATACCCGTAACAGCACGAGTCACCCACCGAAGACAATGGATCAGGTCGCGCAATATCGTGGATTAACGTGATTAACGTTAGATATTAACACTGTTGGTTGTCGGCTCAGTGATCTAGAAGTTAGGTGTTCGCGATCGAGACTGAAGGTCTTGGATCTTATTCCCTTGTAGCGAGTAGCGTATGAGTTCAACACCAGGACGAAACAGCTATTCAGTGATTCACGTATTTCAATGATGGCCTAGTATTGATCGATTCATGATCTCATTGAAACTCAATTAAACACAAATACGACAATATCAATTTCGCAATACACAATGGCACGACAATGAAGAGTAATCAGTTGTTAGACAATTGCCCTCTCTCTCTCTCACAGTGAAAGATCTAGATTCAGATCTAGGTAGTATCTAACAATGGATAAGATTTATGTACTACAAAAGTAATACTCATTAGTAACTAGTATCTTATTGTATAATTTATTTGAAATGACGGAAATTCGCAGCTATCATACCACATTAGCACGGAGAAATGGAATTGTCAGTTCAAATCTCATAGTAGTAGAGGTGGTAGTAGCAGTGTGAGTAGTATATGACGTGAGTGAAAACGTAATGTCTGGCAGCAGAAGAGGATGGGGGAAGATCAAGAAAGGAAGAGCGGGAACACAATGGGATTTGTATGAAACTCATGAATAAGTGAAATGTCAGGCAATGGATTGATGATGGATTGAAGATTTGCAAATTAACCGTTTACGATATGGTTTTCCTATTTTACTGAGTAACTCTGTAATTTGCGATTAACACAATTCGGTTGCCCTCACCTGTGTTCTCCTTCACTACAGCAGTATTAGCCGTAATCGAGAATAGTAGGGTTCGAAGATATTACTAAAGAAGTATAATTCAGTGAGATAGCTTTAGAAAGATGGAGATGATGAGGAATTTAGAAGACTAGGATTTGAAAGAACACAATGAATGAACCTGAGCTATTCCAAACGATTTTGAGTTATGTCATTCAAAAAGTCTCTAACCATCGGTTACTATTGTCTCGTGGACTCCAACCATGTAGTCAGTCTACACACACCTACAGTGCAGTTGTCCGTGACTTCATGGATTTGTGCCATGTTTTGGTTTGCCCCGCCCCCTCATATTGTCTCGCAGACCTGATTGGTTTGACATACAATTGAAATGTGGTACTTCACCATACTGTAGCTGGGGGTTACGATCAGATACAGATATGGTATGAGTAATTAGTTGATAATTAAAGTTATCTACGATAGTCATCTATAACCGATCGATAAACAGTGAGTTCTCTAAATGTTTTTATACTTTGAACACGAAAATTATAGCCATTCAAAACTAATACGATTACAAAGTCGAAAATAAAAACTTACTTTGATTTAAAAGTAGGTCCTGTCAAGAAAATACAAGTAATTGGTCGTTGTAAATTCATTAAAGTTGTACCGAATGCAATAAGATTTGGATTCTATAGAAAAATATAAGAAAATTACACTAATGACGTAAACACACATATATATATTTCTTGAAGAACGGTAAGATTAAAAGAAGCAACTTAAGGTCTTAGGGCGAAGTTGTACTGCTCGCTGTCAGTCAGTCAGTAACAACGTAGAACTTCGTACTTAAGTACATCAGTTCATAATGCCATACCACATTCCCTCGGACAACCATCATTTGCAGCGATGCTGCCTTCTCACAAGGAAGGAAGGGTTAGGAAAGGTCGACCCTAAAATGTTACACCTTACCTTACCTCACGGATTTCCGTCTCCGGCGGTAAGGGTGCCCACTAAGGGCTTTAGAAGAGAGGAGCTAATACTCGAAAAACCTTTCACAAAAAGGCCGTGCGTGACCGGCCTCAAGCAGTTGTCCCAGATCTCTAAGACCGACACTAATCTACCTTTCCTTTCAGGTTCCTCAAGAAACAACCTTCCACGGTGTGTGGGCAGCCGGGAAGTGACAACCGCCCTCATACCCGTAACATCACACCGCCCACTGTAGGGAGGTGTGACAGCAATAAGATGTTTCCCTCGGACGACTGGCATCTGCAATTATGATGTATTCTTACAAGGAAAGAAAGGGTTAGAAAAGGTCGACCCTAAAAATGTCACACCTTACCTTAACCCGACGGATTCCCGTCTTTGGAGGTAAGGCCATTTGAAAAGCAGAGCTAACGCTCCCAAAGCATCAAATAGAAACGGCCGTGTAACCAGCATAAAGCAATTATCTTTCAGGTTCTGAGGTCACGCCCCCCGGTCGCTAAGACCAACATTAATCGAACTTCCTTTTCAGGTTCCTCAATAAACACCATTCCACGGTGTGGGCAGCCGGGAAGTGATATATGCCCTCGTAAAAGTAACAGCACACGAGACTAAATTAGGCACAATCAAATCCTTCTTCCTGTTGGGTACCTAAATATTCTATGCGCCATTCAAATTACTGAACTTGTGGATGAGCTGGGATACTGCCTGGGTACCCAAACCGAATCTGGTGGTTTTATTAGGCAGCCACTCCCTGAGTCTTCGACTTACAGGTCTAATCCACAAGGTAGTTGATCCAGTCTCATTGTAGTCGATGACCAGCAATCGGTTCATATGCCATTTCTCCCTTCAGGGTCTTATAGCCCATATGGACCAGTGGTTTGAAATTAGAGTTTATCAACTACGCTAGGTGGACACCCCGTATCCACCAACCCAACTGATACATCAGATATTCAAATTTCGTTCTCCCTAACTTGTAAACAACACCCCTGTCATGAGAAGGTAATGCGTAGAACTTTCTTGGCAGTGGTTACATACGAAGTAGTATGTTAGCGATTAGTAATTCTCTCTCTTTATTTCTTACTTTCGTTGATATATTTTATGATGTATAACAAATTGACTTAGCATAGTAGTACAGAGTTATCTTTCCATGCTTTTTTACATCCACCTTTGTTAGGGATAATTTTTCAAATAAAAGAGTGCCGTGACTACCACTTCGTGTTCTCTCTTGGTGTGAGGTGTTGAACTAATCTTGTTTGTTGTGATTTTAGATCCTATCCGCCCTTCAACGACTGCCGGTTACACGTGTTACACATGTAACTGTGCATTGACGCTCCCCGGTCTATAAGACCGACACTAATCCATCTTACGTTTAAGGTTTCTCAAGAAACACCCACGGTGTGGGCAGCCGGGAAGTGACAACCGCCCTCATACCTGTAACAGCAAACGAGACCAAATCGGTCACAATCAAATCCTTCCTACACCCCCTCATATCTCTCTTATCTCCATGACTAACTCTAATCACATTCCTTTATCTCACTGCACCGCTAATGAAAACGATGCGAGTTCACAGAAAGTTATTCCTGGCCTCCTGAAACTCCGCTCTAGTCTACATGTTGTAGCATTTAATGTACGAACATTGTGTCAAATAGGATAAAAAGCTTCCTTAGCTAGGACTCAAGAATATCGCTCCATTTGTGTATGTTGCGTCTCGGAAACGCGCATACAGGATCCGAGTAGCATAATTCACTTGACCTCACAATGTCAAGATAAAAAAGCAACTCGATATACTCGTCATGTATCTCCTTGAATGACATGGCTCAGAATCGTTTGCGATGGCGCAGGTGCATCCACTCTTTGTGTTCTCTCTAATTCTAACCTTCTGAATTCCTCATAATCTCTATCTTTCTCCTTTTAAATTCATCTTACTGAATTATACTTTTCGAATCATATCTTCGCTCCCTAGTCTTCTCCATTACTGCTAATACTTGTACTATCGCTATCACTCTTGGATTTGAAATGACGGTTGTGTCTGTATGCTGATGTGGTATGGCAACCTGAACTGTTGTACTTACGTACGAAGTTCTGCGTTGTATCTGTCTGTCTTTGTTAGGAATATTCATCAGATATTCTAAAGAAATTATTTTGTAAGTCTAATTCTACTGGCCAATATTTAGGGTCATCCTAAACTATCAACTTCACATACTTTTCAATGTTATTTCCTATTGGTTAGTATTTACGGTCGATCTGACTGTATAAATATGCATCGTCAGTAAAGTTTTATGTTCCTCTTCTGTACAAAACCTCATATTTTCTGGGTGCTTGTAGAATACACCTTTCTACGCCATCATATCAAGACATTTTGACACCGTTAATGGGGCCTTGGGACGCTTAGAATTAGAGTAGCCTATCGTGTCAATGGATCATTTGTCTTCGCTCTCGTTTACCGACTAAAGTGAACTCGTAACAGCATTCATGCATATCAACTGTTGACGAGCATAACAATCTTAATTAAACAAAATTTCAAAGGAAATAAAAGTTAGATTAGCATTTCTAAAATGGAATATACCTCGTGTAATTCTTGTTTAGATGATTTATTTAATAAATTTTTAATTTGATCAGTTGTCAATAAAATTACAACTTCCGGTTCAATGAATGGATTAAGTTTAATGTTCAACGATTCATTATCTACAAATAAAGGAAGGAACAGAATGATTCGATTAAAATAAGTTAAACAAAGGAAGGGGAAAAAAAGAGCTAATCTAGATTCCTTTTTGTTACGAATACATGTAAATATGTCATTTTGATATACTTGAACTAGTATTGCAAGTTTACCCTAGTTGGGAAATGAGAGTGAGGATCGAGTATCCGGCGACATGACATGCTGCTCCAATTTGAGTGTTCCGACCCCCATAGTGAGTAAAAATAAGAAGAGTTGATATGAAGTAGAACCTGTATATTCTACAAGCATTCAGAAAGTACGAGATCCGAGTCCAGAAGAGAATCAGGATTCTGGTCCGGGTCATAAAACGTTACAGATAATCCGCATTTATACATTTTGGTCGAATAGGAAACAGCACTGAAGTATGTGACATTGACATTGAAGACGACCAATAGGAAGCGACATTTGAAGTGACATTGATAGTCAGGACAACTAATAAGAAACAACATTGGAGCACGTGACATTGATATCTAAGACGATCGTAAAATTAACCAGTAGGATTTAGCCAATAGGAATCGACCAATAATTCTCTTAGGATATTGGATGAATATCCTAAAACTTACTCAGTGAACGGAATGAAGACCAGTGATTCGGTGACACGATAGGCTATTTTATTCCGTTTGTCCCGGCCTGGCTAACTAGACCAAAAACTCTTGGATAAGGAGTAGAAAGTGTATTCTACAAGCACACAATCCAAGCTTATTTCAACAATTCATAAAACGACCTTGTTGAGAGCCATAAACTAGTGTACTAAAATAATCGATCAATCAATGACAGTCAAGGACTTCCTGAGTGGAATTTACAGGCTGAAGGTCAATATGGGCGTCTTTGGCGGGAAGACATAAAATTCAAAATTCGAGAAATAAAATTACAAAATATGGACCTTTTTCAAATGAGTTCTGGGGATCTTACGTTGTCAACAGTATTAAATGGAAGGAAACGCACATATCAGATTTCATTGTCAGCCACTATATTCATCTGTGCTGATAATGATTGTATATCCTTAAAGGCAATATTGAGGCAATCTACATAAAATGTAAATATGTCAAACTAGATTGATCTAACTGTAGTCATAAATAGAAGTAAGGAAATTTCAGTAGATGACTCAATCAATCAGTCAATCAATAGCAACGTAGAACTTCGTACGAACGTACATCGGTTCATGTTGCCATACCACATGAGCACAGAGATGTAATTGTCAATTCAAATCCAATAGTAGAAGAGGTAGTAAAGGTATTAGAAGTAATCGGAGAGGTTAGGATTAGAAGATACTATTCAAGAAGTATGATTCAGTGAGAAAAGTTTAGAAAGTCAAAACTATAGGTGTTGAAGAATCCAGAAGATTAGGATTTGAGAGAACACAAAGAATAAATGCACCGGCGCCATTGCAAACGATTTTGAGCCATGTCATTCAAGGGCTCTAACCATCGATTATCATCTCGCGGACCCCAACCAGGTAGTCGACAATTACCAACATGGCTAAGTCCACTTGTCAATGACTTCATGGATTTCTGCCATGTTTTGGTTTGGCCGCCCCTAACTTTCTTACAACCTACTCCTACACTACAAAACATAGCTCGTCGAGGCAGTCGGTGGTTAGGCATACGCAATACATGTCCCAACCACCTCAACTGATGAAGTTCCAATTCATCATCTATTGATCTGCCATTCTTACCTAGCACCCGATTCCTAATAACAGCGTTGCTCACTCGGGTGTCTCACGATATACGAGCAATGCTTTGAAGACACCTGAATTCAAACTCATGATCTAATACGAGTTCATAGTCAAGTCACAGCTTAATTTCTAATATTGGAAGCCTTTTAGTTAATCGGGAAACCATTTACTGACTTGATCACAAACCAACGTTATGCATGGCGTAAAAGTTGGGTAAAAGAATGCAACATCATACTTAAAAGGCAACTGTGTGTGAGAGTGGAGGGGGCTGCGAAAGTTTTATTAACTTTCTAATTAAACTGCCCTAATGTTTTCACTTCAAAATATACAACATTTAAAAACATTAAAATAAGCATGAACAAACCAATTGATTTGGATGCATCATTCTTATCTGTCAATACTTCTATTGTTGGTTGATAACGTGTCCAAGTGAAAGAAAACGAGACAGGAACAGAACCGTTGGAACCATTTAATCCAATTAATTTTGGTTGAATTAAAGGTGGTAATTGTTGTGCCACAGTTTTCTCTAAACAATCATTTGAATTAATTAAATGTTGTATTGTTGATGATTGCCAATTCATTTCTAATTTTGATGTTAAAGAAGCTAGCAAACTAGGCATTTGTAAAATGCTTTCATCAAATTCACATGTGATTAACTGAAAAAATTTGTAAGATTACAAAAATTATAAATTAAGTAGGGGGTTAACCAAAACTTATTGATTGATTTAGGCCATTAAATGAACAAGTATTAGGAGACATTGTAGTGCCTCCACATTTATTTGCATCCGCTTACATTTAATTTGCTTAAGCCCTTTTGATTAATTTCTTTAACCAAGCCATTCGCTTAGCAACAACTTGTATGTACCATTGGTATTTTTTATTATCTGGTTTGTATGAGCTGATATGACTGAGCATTGCTTAACGCCTACGCATATATGCATCCTATTCGCTTTAATATTAATCTCTTAAATACCACGATGACTCAGACATTTTCCTTTGTATATATACGAACATTTTTATCTTATTAATACATTCGCACATTCGCACATTCGCATATTCGCTCGCTAGTCTGTCTGCCCGGTCTGTCTGTGGTCTGCTGTTATTAATTGTGGTGTGCTACAATAAACGTATACGATACTTGGAATTCATCTTCTGATTTATTAACCGTCAGACGTCATTTGGATAAGGTAGTCTGAACGAGCTTATTACGAAACGTAAGAACACGCATTAAGCCGGCACACTACAACATAATGAACTGTTCTAAGAAAATAACATGCTCATTAGATTGGATTCAACAATAAACATACTTAAAAGTTACTTAATAAATAGATGATTGGTAGAAATTAAAATTACACGTCATTCATCATTTAATAGAGTCGATATATATATATATATATATATATCAATATTTATCGCATTATTTTATCGCTATGAAGTGTGGGATTCTTTATTGGCAACAGTAATACTGTGGCACCTGAACTAGTGATTGGGAGTGAAGTAGTCGAGCGTGTTGATCACTCCACTTATCTGGGGAGTCTCATCAGTGCTGATAGCCTGGTGACTGACGAAATCTCAGCACGGATACAGAAAGCTTGATTGGCTTTTGCCAACCTGCGTCACTTATGGCGTAGGCGAGATATCCGTTTGATGACTAAAGGACGAGTGTACTGCGCAACAGTTCGCTCCGTCTTACTTTATAGCTGGGAAACATGGCCGTTAAGAGTAGATGTTCGTAGGTTACTGGTATTCGATCATAGATGTTTAAGAAGCATTGCTCGTATATCGTGGGACAACCGAGTAAGCAATTCTGTCGTTAGGAGACGCGTGCTAGGCAAGGATGGCAGATCAGTAGATGAAGTAATGAAACTTCATCAGTTGAGGTGGTTGGGACATGTGTTACGTATGCCTAACCACCGACTGCCTCGACGAGCTATGTTTTGTAGTGTAGGAGTAGGTTGGAAGAAAGCTAGGGGCGGCCAAACCAAAACATGGCAGAAATCCATGAAGTCACTGACAAGTGGACTGATTCATGTTGGTAGATGTAGGCTACCCGGTTGGGGTCCGCGAGATGAAAGTCACCAATGGTTAGAGACCTTGAATGACATGGCTCAAAATCGTTTGCAATGGCGCAAGTGCATCCATTCGTTGAGCTCTCTCAAATCCTAATCTTCTGGATTCGTCAGCACCTCTACCCTTGTCTTTCTAACCTTATCTCACTGAATTATACTTCTTGAATCATATCTTCAAACCCTAGTCTTCTTCATTAACATTAATACCTCTACTATCTTTATCACTATGGGATTTGATTCGACATTTGCGTCTCTGTGTTAATGTGGTATGGCTACATGAACTTATGTACATACGTACGAAGTTCTACGTTGTAACTGACTGACTGACTGACTGAACCACCAGTGTTAATGTCTAACTTCGATCATTCCACAATATCGCGTGACCATCATGTAATGTCTTCGGCGAGTAACTGCTTCTCAGATGCAAAATGATTCAACCCCCCACTGGTCACACGACCACTCACTAAAACACTCCAAGACAATCCTTCATTAAACTAGTCATGATAAAATCGAGGAAATCGGTGAGTTTCACTGAAATCTTCAACTTGATCAATGAAACTCAACAAATATTTCCACAATTCTTAAATTGACAAATCGATTCGCTACTGTCTCTTATGTCGAATACCTTCATATAATTGACGTAATTATTCACGTAGTCTGGTGTATTTTTTTTTTCACACAACCTTTAAATATGATTATGATTGTTATATAATTTCTTTTTCTAATTTGAGTATTTTTCAAAAATTTCGCGCAAATCCCATTTAAAAAAAGTTGATTTATGTTTCGTTCTGTCTAATTGTGTCCATTTGTCTAAATAGACATACACACACAGACACACACACACACGCACACACGCACACCTTAATTAAGGCTACCAACATGATTATTATTATCAACCCCCCCCTCCCCATCGTCCGATAATATACACATATATACATATCACTTAATGGGAACTGATATATACATAATGGGACAGACATTAAATGAATAGACATGTCTTTGAAACATGTATATATATATATATATACACCACACGTGATGGTCACCCCCTGTTCGTGTTTTTTGAGAAATTTTTAAAAAATTAAGGGTGGTGAACTAATGAGACGAAGCCGAAGAAATCACGTACACATTTTAAACTGTAATTATTAATTATTGGTCGTGGGGAGTGTGGACGAGGAAAAAATGTTTTGTTTTTTTCTCTCGGAAATAATTAAACACTGATTAAAATGGGCTAAAACAGAAAAAATTCAACTGGAACTCCAGTTGTGTATCGATCGAATTTCGCTGTATAATATGGAGTTATTCGGAGTTATGAAAAAATATGTTTCACTAGTGACTAGTTTCGTGAAGAATCTTCTCCGATCAGTGAAGTTCAACCCTGTTCGGGTGTAGGCAGTAACTACCAAAGACAAATGGGTGAGGTCGTGTAAAATCTGTGGATTGATCAAAGTTAGACATTAACAACGATGGATACCGGCTGGCCCAGTGGTCCAGAGATTGGGCGTTCGTGCGTAAGTCCGAAAGTCCTGGTTTTGAATCTTGCGAGGTGCAGGAGTCGTGGATGTGTACTGCCACTGATGAATAGTCCCATACCCGGACGATACGGCCGCCCGGAGATTCCATACTTCTAATATGGTGGTCTAATAATGACTGATTGATGATTTTAAATGTGTAAAACACTAGTCTCCATAACTCTAATTGAAAGTATCGTAAAATGTACTCACTAGTGACTAGCTTCATGTGGAAATCCTCAGAGTTCTAGTAGAGAAGTCATGACCAGTGGAGTTCAACCCTGTTCGGGTGTAGGTGGTAGTGGTTACCTATCGAAGAAAAATGGATGAAGTTGAGCAAAACCCTCAGACTGATCAAAATCCGACATTAACACTGTTGGATGCCGGTTCAGTAAAACTGAAGGTCATGGGTTCGACTCCTACTAGCGAGGATTGTGGATGAGCCCTTCATTCTAATATGAGATATATTAGTGACAGTGTACATTCACGATCTCACCACCGGAAGATCGAACTCAAGACCTGCTCAGTTTCACTTAAGATCGATTAATCTGTAGACCCAGTGTTGAGCTTCTATCAATCCAAAATACTGAGTAACACTTCTTCTGTTGTCTTCGACTGGTAATTGTTTCATACTCAAAACAGACCACCTCCAATAGCCATAGCATTCAAGATCCGATCGTTGATGACGCCCCGATTATAGATGTACAGTAGCACTGTCGTAATGAAGGAGAACACAGGTGAGGGCAACCGAATTGTATTTATCGCAAACTACAGAGTTACTCAGTAAATTAGGAAAACCATATCGTAAACCGTTGTTAATTTGCGCAAATCTTCAATCCATCATCAATCCATTGTCTGACATTTCAATCACTATTCATGCGTTTCATACAAATTCCATTTTTGTGTTCCCACTCTTTTGTTTTCTTGATCTTCCCCCCCATCTTCTGCTGCCAGACATTACGTTTACACTCACGTCATATACTACTTATAAGTAGCGCGCACCACACTGTCACTGACGATGACCATACATCGATGAAATAGTCATCTAGTCATTTCCCAGTTTTGATAATGTTTATTCTAAACTTTCCATCGATTCATGACATCTATCTCTTTTTTTTTCAGATCGTCAATGTATTACACCTGGTTGTAAAGGTCGTCTGATTCTACGCAATTGTCGTGGTCATAGCGGCTATCCAGTGACACATTTTTGGCGTTTTGTTAATGGTGCTGTTTATTTCGAAGCGAAAGGTGAACATGATCATAATTGTCCATCATTGAAAACATTTGGGTTATCGGATTCCGAGACAAATATGGTAAATCATGTGATAACTGGAACGAAACCAATTACTACTACTAATACTACTGCCGCGGTTACCATGACAACCGTCACCACCACTACTACTAGTACTACTACTACTAGTGCTATGTATAGCTTAACTACGACAATTACACCTACAACAACAACAGCAGTAGCGGTAACAGATAACGCTGGAAATTTCAATGTCCAATGTATTGAACATTTAACGCCTCAACTCGACAGTTGTCAACAACAACACCAACAGCAACTATTAAATCATGATGGGTGTCAATTTGTTGCACAAACTGACCAATCAATGATGTTTCAACAGAATTTAAATTTCAATTTATCAATGTCCAATAATAATAATAATAGTAAGGAATTTGAAAATCCGCCATTATTATTATTCAGACAATTAAAACAAAATGGAAAAAAACGTACTAATAATGGTAGGAGGAGAAAACGATTGAACCATGAAAACAAACTGACCAATACATATTTCAAAGTAAGTTGAATATTTAAAAATTTTGGGGCAGAGTTTTGGAGGTTTGCGTTTTTACACATTTGAAAACCATCAATCAATCATTGTTAGACAGAGCACCATTAGAAATCTGGAAGCACTGAAAGACGGCCGTCAAGTCCTGGTATGGGACTATTCATTAGCAGTGAGCATCCACGACTCCTGCTCCTCGCAGGATTCGAACCCGTGACCTTCGGTATTGTAGGCGAACGCCTAACCATCGGACCACTGTGCGGCTGTCTAACTCTAATTGATCTAAGGATTTTGCGCAACCTCACCTATTTGTCTTTAATAGTTACTGCCTACACCCGACAGGGTTGAACTCCTCCATTGGTCACGTCTTCTCAACTAGAACTCCGAGGATTTCCTCACGAAAGCTAGTCATCACTAGTAAGCACTGTTACGATATTTTGGGGAAGAGTTTTGGAGGTTTGCGTTTTTACACATTTGAAATCATCAAACCTCCAGAAACTCTGCCTAAAAAATATCGTAACAGTGCTCATTAGTGATGACTAGCAGCTTCGTGAGGAAATTCTCGGAGTTCTATGGTGAGAAGACGTGACCAGTGGAGGAGTTCAACCCTGTAGGGGTTGTAGGCAGTAACTACTACCAAAGACAAATGGGTGAGGTCGCGCCAAATCCGTAGATCAATCAGAGTTAGACATTAATTAACACCGTTGGATGCTGGCCAGTGGTCCGATGGTTAGGCGTTCGCGCACAATGCCGAAGGTCCCGGGTTCGAATCCTGCGAGGAGCAGGAGTCGTGGATGCGCACTGCTGATGAGTAGTCCCATACCAGGACGAAACGGCCGTCTAAACAGTGCTTCCAGGTTTCTAATAATGGTGGTCTAACAATGATTGACTGATGATTTCAGATGTGTATTATGAAAATGGCAGTTTCTGTTTACACCTTGTTGAAATCATGAATGAGTCATTTTGTTAGACCGCGCTATATTAGAAACCTGGAAGCAGTGGAAGCCAGTGGACGGCCGTTTCATCCTGATATAGTAGGGTGTATCCATAACTCCTGCCACCCGTTGGACCTTCAGTCCTGCTTGTGAATGCTTAATCTCTGAGCTACTGTGCCGGAGGAATCCAACGGTGTTAATGTATAACTCTGATCAATCTAAGGGTTTTTTTACTCAACCTTACCGATTGTCATCGGTAGTTAGTGCCTAATGTTGACAAGGTTGAATGAACTCCACTGGTGATCGAGTGCTTCCAAGTTTCAAATATGGCGGTCTAACAATAATTTATTCATGAATTCAAAGCGAATTTGTTTTAATGATAGTGTGGTGCGAAACGACCGTCCAATTCATGATTTCAGTTATTTATATTGAAGTAATCGATGTCAACCAAGACTGAACCTTTAAATCATTGTTGTTGATTGCGTAATAGTCTACACTCCTAATTTTAGAATGTTAAACTGTTATTATTGTCATTTATAGGTCATTTGTTAGGATATTCATCAAATATCCTAAGAGAATTATATTTGGAAGTCTAATCTTGGTCAATTCCTACTGGTCAATATTATGGTCGTCCTAGCTATCACTGTCACGTACTTCAATGTTGTTTCCTTTTCGACCTGATTGCATAAATATGCAGTATCTGTAAGGTTTTATGACCCGGACCTGGATCTCTAGTCCGGGATCCTGATTCTCTTTTGGACTTGAACCTCGTACGTTCTGGATGCTTGTAGAATACAGGTTCTACTTCATCTCAAGTCTTCTTGTTTCACTCAATGGGGGGGAGGTTAAAACACTCGGATTAGAGTATCACCTCGTGTCGCTAGATCCTCGATCCTCGCTCTCGTTTTTCGACTAAGCTAAATTTGTAATAGTTCAAGCCTAACAAATGACGCTTTTACGTGCATGCGTAACAGACAGAGAAGCGGCAAAATGTATTCCTGGTATTCTAGTAACAACTCATCGTGGAATTTCAATCAAAAGTTAGACATTACCACAGCTGGATGCTAACACAGTAGGTCTAAAGGTTAAGTATTCTCATGTCAGACAAGAGATCCTGCATTCAATGCCTCTCTCTCTCTCTCTCTCTCTCTCTATATATATATATATATATATATATATATATATATATACGAGATCATGAGTGCGCGCTGTTGATGAGTCCTGTACTCCTCGAACGAAACAGCTATCTAGTATTTATTTTCTCGGAAGTTTCCAATCATCCCGTTGTAGTTAAGGAGAACACAGGTGAGGGCAACCGAATTGTGTTAATCGCAAATTACAGAGTTACTCAGTAAATTAGGAAAACCATATCGTAAACCGTTGTTAATTTGCGCAAATCTTCAATCCATCATCAATCCATTGTCTGACATTTCAATCACTATTCATGCGTTTCATACAAATTCCATTTTTGTGTTCCCACTCTTCCTTTCTTGATCTTCCCTCCCCCATCTTCTGCTGCCAGACATTACGTTTTCACTCGCGTCATATACTACTTATAAGTAGCGCGCACCACACTGTCATTAAGATCAAATTGTTATTTAAAATATTTGAATGTTTACTTGTGTTCAATATTCAATTTGATCATCAATACAATTGAACTTGTCTACCGAAATCGTTTTTACTTCTGTTCTGTTCTGTTCTGTTTATAGAAACAACAGAAATGTGAAAATTATTTGAAAATTTCACCCAACGAGTCAGCTGGTGTTGATATGAAACGAAATCGAAAAAGTAAGTTGATCAGACTTTGAAAAAAAAATGTGTTTGTTCATCTATTTTCAATGATCAATATTTTGTTCATAGTAATATTGTTACGCTCGTCACTAAGTATGCTTGAGGCTATTACGACGAGTTTACCTTAGTCGACAAACGCGAACGAGACAATGAACCAGCGTCTAGGTAGGCTACCTTGAATCCCAAGCTAAGGTAAGAAGGCTTCGTAAGCGTAGAAAGTGTATTCTACAAACACACAGCAATCACACAGTACAATCAACCATACAACTCTCGTTTATTCATACATCATAGAAACGTCCTTGGGACAGTCACAAAAATAGCACACTAAAATACACAGCAGCCAATCATAGCCATGGATTTTCCCTGGTGGGAAATGAAATCTCAAGGTCAACTGATCAGCCCATGCTGGCAAACGTGAAAACCAAAATAAGGCATTTTTTATCAAGCGAGTTCTGGGGGATCTAACATCCCCAACAAATATTTTGCGCTACGGTATTAAGAAAATTGTTGTTTTAATCTTGTAAAAATAATTCGAAATCTGAAAAAAAATGTGACTAGCTTTGTGAGGAAGTTCTCGAAGTTCTAGTAAGAAGATGTGACTAGTGGAGTTCAACTTCTGTCGGGTGAAGGTGGTAACCATGGGAGACAATGAATGAAGTTGTACGAAATTCTTAGATTGATCAGAGTTAGACATTAACATAGTAGGATGTCAACTTAGTGGTCCAGAGGTTAAGTGTTCGCGCATAAGAGACCGAAGGTCCTAAGTTCAAACTTTGCGAGTGGCAGGAGATTTGGATGCTCACTGTCATTGATGAATGCCATACTGGGACGAAACGGTCGTCCAGTGCTTGTGTGTGTTTCTAATATATATATATGACTATTACGTAATATTGTAAAAGCTAACAAATACTTAACAACTAATTTACATTAGTCATATAATAAGCATGTGACTTTATTCTTGAATGAAGCCATGTCGAGTAGTCTGATTACCGATTACCAGATAGAATATCATTTTCGAAACAAATTAACTTATATCCAGTATGGGATAATCATTTCTTCCAAGGTCTGTTACTGTTGTAACGGTTGCTTAAGATATTTCCCGGCTAAATCTTATTGCTTAGTATTCTTGACACAAGACACTGGACAAGTAACACAAATCAGAACACGGTTGAACAGGAAGGATTGTATTCCAAAATAGCAAGGAAAAGAAGCTGGAGGTGATGGCGAAAGCCAAGGCAAAAAGGCTTGAAAGCGAAGAAGGCTAAAAGGCGAAGAAGGCTAAGAAGGCAAAGATAAATACAATGCTAGTCTATTTATAGCCTTTGCATGAGAAAACTTCTGGAAGGAAATTCACGTGATCGACTGGACTGGATTTGACCAATCAGCATGCAGCTAATAATACGAGAATTTTCTATCCTGTTCTCCAAGCTTCGATCAGGCGCTGATTGGGTAGGAAATTAGCCAATCAGCGCGCAGTGACGTAATCATGCTTTAAATTTCATCTATGTCCCACTAACACCTCCCCTTTGAGAAGATTCATAGGATCTGGTGCTAGGGTCCAACTGCAACCGAGTGACTGGCTTGTACTTTCGATTACTCCATCTTCTCGGCAATAACGAAGTTGTGTCACTCTTTGCTTGCACAGAAACTGACTTGTGTGTTCCCGGCGTTTTGATTTTGAAGGTGTCCAGCAGAACGTCGAGGGGTATTCGGTGCCGAGTCCCGTTGCTGGCTATCGAAGTTGCTTTCAGTTGGTTAGCATGACGTACCCAAACTTCTGAGCCAACTGACACCTCATAAGTCACATTTCCTTTCTTTTTTATAATCCGACCAGCTGTCCATGCAGGATGTTTTCCACGATAGTCCATAGCAAGTACTTTCTGGCCCACTGTGAACGATCGTCTTTTTGCCCCATGGTGTCGATTGAACTGTTTCTCCATCGACAGGTTTCGCCGAGGCTCAAGAGCTGGTGTAGGACGGACGACATCAAAATGTGTTCGTAATTTTCTACCAAGTAGAGCTTCCGCAGGTGAAACTCCGTCAATCGTCTGAGGGTTCGGTGTAGAGCGATAAATAAGCAGGAACCTCTCTAAGATCTCTTCGGTGGTCCCCTCCCCTTTGGATTTTTTTAGAGCATTTTTAAATGTGCTCACAAAGCGTTCTACTTGACCATTTGATTGCGGATGGAATGGAGGTGTTCGGATGTGATAGATTCCGTTCTGCCGGCAAAATTGCGAGAAGACTGCGGACGTAAACTGTGTCCCGTTGTCAGTAACTATCAATTCCGGGACTCCGAAACGACTGAATAGTTTACGTAATTTACTGACTGTACAGCTTGCAGTTGGGTGTTTCATCAAGAAAATTTCTGGCCACTTACTGTATGCATCAACTACCAGAAGGTAAGTTTGTCCATGAAGTGGGCCAGCAAAGTCCAAATGTATACGCTGCCACGGTGACTGTGGTATTGGCCATGATTGCAACTCTGCTATGCGCGATGCTTTTGCTGCTAATGCACATTTGGTACACGAACGGGATAGCTGCTCTAGCTGGGTGTCTAAGTGCGGCCAGTATACATAACTTCGTGCTAGCGCTTTCATGCGATTTATTCCAGGATGTCCCACGTGCAACTGTTTTAGCACTGCTGGTTGTAGCTTCGCTGGAATTATGACTCGTTCGGCAAACAGCAGGCAGTCGTCGATGATTGAAAGAGAGAGTCTACGCTGGTAAAACTGTTGAAGCTCTGAAGAGTTGATCTTCGAAGGCCAACCTTCCAGGTGAAACTTTCTAACTTCTTGTAGAAGTGGGTCTCGAAGAGTTTCTTCTCTGACTTCCTCTGACGACACTGGAGTGTTTCGAATGGCGTCTGCTACTACACTCCTTATTTCTGGACTTTTGACCTAGTAATAGCATTGACACTACTGCTGGTTAAATTGTGATTTACCTGTTCAATCAACATGTTGTCGTGCCTGATACTTTGTAGGCGTTTACACTCATCTGTCAATGTTCTGAGTGTGACGTTAGGGTCTTGGTCCATTCGAATCAAAAGTCTAGTTCTGGTTTCAGCATCTTGCGGTGACTGAAGAGCTTTGATGAATATTAAGCATTTAAATTGGTCTTCCGTCAACGAGCGTAACTTGAACCGTTCACATTCTCTGTTGACGACGTCGACAAGGACCACATATTCATCATCTTCATGTTTCACCAGATTTAGACAATGATATCTAATACTAAACAATGATGATGATTCGCCGAAAATATCAGACAGCTGAGTTACTGTCTACTCGAAACTGAGCTCTCGAGGTAACTTCGGTAATACGTGGTCAGCGTAACGTTCATACTCATTGCTTCCCAACTTACGCAGCAACAATCGAGTCTTCCATGCATCATCTTGTTTACCGAATTCAATTCTAAATGTATCTTCCCAACGTTTGAACCACGTCAGAAAAGTATTTCCACATTCAGGATTATAGACGAATTCTGGTATGCTGTTAGCCACTGCTTCACAAGACGTATTTGAAACAGTATGGGGACTCGAACACTGGATGTTGAGCTGTTGAGTTAGGGTCTCCAACAACCGCATTTGTGCATCTAATTGTGCTTGCTGTTGTTGTAGTATTCGGTTAAGCTGATCATCTGAAATAGGCATCTTGAAATTTTTTTTCTTTTTCTCCGTCGCCACTGTTGTAACGGTTGCTTACGATATTTCCCGGCTAAATCTTATTGCTTAGTATTCTTGACACAAGACACTGGACAAGTAACACAAATCAGAACACGGTTGAACAGGGAGGATTGTATTCCAAAATAGCAAGGAAAAGAAGCTGGAGGTGATGGCGAAAGCCAAGGCAAAAAGGCTTGAAAGCGAAGAAGGCTAAAAGGCGAAGAAGGCTAAGAAGGCAAAGATAAATACAATGCTAGTCTATTTATAGCCTTTGCATGAGAAAACTTCTGGAAGGAAATTCACGTGATCGACTGGACTGGATTTGACCAATCAGCATGCAGCTAATAATACGAGAATTTTCTATCCTGTTCTCCAAGCTTCGATCAGGCGCTGATTGGGTAGGAAATTAGCCAATCAGCGCGCAGTGACGTAATCATGCTTTAAATTTCATCTATGTCCCACTAACAGTTACCCAGCCCTCGATGGAGCATAGACTACCAACTAGGATTCTTGAAACCGCTCTGTCCTAGGTTGTCTTTCTAGTGTTATCCAATAACTGTACATTCTTTTCATATCTGTCTCCAACTGTGGGCGTAATGTGTTCTTTGGACTTCGTCTTCCCTTTTGGCTTTGAGGATTCCAAGTTGAGGCTTGTCTAGTGATGTAGCCTGGTGCTTTTTTCAATATGTAATCCTATCCACCTTCAGCACTTTTTTGCGAACTTTCTCACTCAGCTGAAGGATTTGTTCTGATTTGTTCTGCATCACAGCAGGGTTGTTACTGATAATGTCTAGACGACGGATCCGTTAGGGTTAAAATTACACCGGTCCATGGTAAGATGCTAATCCAGTGTTCATAAACAAGATTGAATTACCCCAGACTCGTTTTACAGATACAAGATTCTAGATGAGCAAGTACTTGAGAGTTTTGTGAAAGTAGACTTTGAATGGTCGTCTAAATATTGAAGATGTTAGATTCCCAGAACTAACTTGATAAATATCCTGATTTTGGATTTATTTGATGAACCGATCAGTTGACGTTGAGACCACATTTCCCGCCAGGAAAATACTTGGCTGTGATTGGTTACTGTGTTATTTTAGTGTGCTATTTTTGTGACTATCCCAAGGGCGTTTCTATCATTGTAAAAGTAAGCTTGAGTTGTGTGCTTGAATTCGTTGTGTGCTTGCTGGGTGTTTGTAGAATACAATTACTACTCTATATCAAAACTTGTTCGGTAGTTCCTTTGGATCAGCGGATCAGAGTAGCCTACCGAGACGCTGACTGATTGTTTCGTTCTCGTTCGAAAGAGATTATTCAAGAAGTATAATTCAGTGATATAAGTTTAGAAAGACAACCGTAGAGGTGTTGACGAATCCAGAAGATTAAAATTTGAGAGAACACAAAAAGTGGATGCCTCTGTGCCATCGCAAACGATTCTGAGCCATGTCATTCAGGATATCTAACCATCGATAATTATCATCTCGCGGACCCCAGCCAGGTAGCCTACATCTGCCAATATGACTCAGTACACTCGTTAGTTACTTCATGGATTTCTGCCATGTTTTGGTTAGGCCACCCCTAACTTTCTTACAACCTATTCCTACACTACAAAACCAAGCTCGTCGAGGCAGTCGGTGGTTAGGCATACGTAACACATGTCCCAACCACCTCAACTGATGAAGTTTCATTACTTCATCTATTGATCTGCCATCCTTACTTAGTACCCGTTTCCCACGATTCACGAGCAATGCTTCGAAAACACGTATGATCGAATACTAGTAACCTATGAATATCTTCTACTCTGACTGGTAATGTTTCACAGCCATTAAGTAAGACGGAACAAACTACTTCACAGTACATTCATCAGCAAAACATAGCTGTAATCTTGAAAGAACTGTTACTCTCTGATGGATTCAATTTCCATTCTGATAAGTGCTAAATAATCTCGAACACGGTTTTCTCGTCGACTATCTAATATTTGAAATAAATAGTACTGACTGAATATCCCAATCATAAATTATTCCCCCCTAATTAAGCACACACATTCTATCTATCCTATTCACAATTTAAAACTTGTGTTTTAATTAATAACCAATCAACTTTCAATTTTGAATTTTAAAAAAATCCTTTCAATATTCAACATTTTTTTCCTTTGTTTAAATAGATCAATCAAATACACCATTGACTAATAATAATACTACTAGTCAACAATTTCAAAATCAGCCATTTTATCATAATGATACTATAAATAGTAATAATAATTATTATTATGATGACTGTTCAATGAACATTGATCAACATCAACATCATCATCGTTCAATGTTCAACGATCAATCAATGAATTCAATGTGTTCAACATCCAATTCATCATCATCAGTGTTACCAATAGAAACAACCAATCATCATCCACCTTATTATCATTATTACTACTATTATTCGTTACCATTGAAGAAAAATGCTGAAAATGATATTTTCAATCAATCGAATTCACTGAATAACAATAATTATTATGTAACAACACCTACTACTAGTAGTCATCGTATGTCAACAATGCATTATTATTCACCAAATTGGCAATTATCCCTATCATCATTATCTGTTTATTCCACATGTTCCTCCTCCTCGTCATCCTCGTCGACATCCTCGTCCTCATCGTGTTCATGTTTATCCCTGTCATCAACATCATCAACCTATCAGACAACACCTTATTACATTCATGTCAATTCAAATGAATCTTATTTTATCTCATCGAACAATCATAATTATTGTTCTTCACAATTGAACACATTGAAAACAGCACCACCCGATTCACGTTGTCATAATGATGATGAATATTATTATTTTCAACCGGTTTTTTTAAATTCAACATGCAATGATGATGATGATGATGATGATGAAATTTATGAAAACGTTTATCATCATCATCATTCTCATTCTACACCACAACAACCACAATCGATGAACGCAAATCATGATCAATATCCCCAAAATAACGATAATTATTATGATAACTATTATTCTCATCATCATTCTAATCCTTGGTTAACAATGTCAGATCATGTAATTACTAATACTACTCATAATAACAATACTACTTATCCCATAAAATCGATCAATACTTATCCCATGGATTGTTTCCAGTCAAATAGTCAACTTTATTATCAAGAACAAGCAATAACAACGCCGTCATTGCCATCGCAACAACAAGGACAACTGACCGTTCAATGTTCAATCGCAGAAAACATTGATCAATATACCCCGGTAAGAAAACAACTGATGCAAGTTAGTAGCAACAGCAGCAGCAGCAATAATGATGAGTGCTGTGATTTAAGCAACTCAGCAATAAATTAATACTATCCACTTGTGTTGAAATCATCCAGCATGAATTTTTTACCGGAACAACATGAATTTGAGAAAGAATTCCGTCGGGAAGATGGTTTACATGAAGGAGGAGAACAGGATGATGATCTGGAGGATGGCGAGGATGAAGAAGAAGGCGTGGAAGAGCATTTTGACGATGATTCGCATCAGTATGACCATCATTATCATGAACAACACCAGCACCAACCTCACAATGAATTCATCATTGATCAAAGTCTATTCGAAACAACAACGGATTGGTCTAATAATAATGTATATTATTTAAACAATTCTTCAACATTGTCAATAAAACAACCCGGTCAATTTGAACAAGATTTCATGGTAGAAAATGGCGGCGGCGGCGGCAGTAATCAATATTGTTTTGAAGAATGTCTTGTGGGAACTACCAGTGGTGACACTACTACTAGTACTACTGATACTACTCATAATAGTAGTAATCATCATCATGAATATTCAACCAATCGGAATTGCCCTAGTGAATTTGAAAATTCATTGTTGAACTATTATTTCATTGTCAATTCACAACAACAACAACAACAACAACAACCGGTATCATTGGACAATTGAACATGTTGAACATTGAACGCTTTGAATCCGGTTTTCAAAACAAAAATGCAAAAAACCAATTTTTTCTTCCAAATTTTTTTTGGTTTTTTCGTTTTTAAAAAAATCGGGTTTTTCATCTTGAATTATTTTGTAATTTTTTTGAAAAAAATTCAACGTTTTTAATTTTTTTTTAATTATTATTTTCCAACCGGTGAACACTTTTTGAAAAAAAAACACATTTTTGTTTGTTGTTGTTGATTTTTAAATCTCCCGCTTTTGTTTAAATTCTGAAATTAAAACAAACAGACAAACAAACGAAACACTGATTTGAATTTTACCTGTGATCAATTTATCATGTTGTTGAATAATGATAAATAAAAAATATTTTTATTTTCTATTGATTCTTAAACTAGAAAATAGTTAAAAGTTTGTTTTAATTTTGCGTTATAGTATTGTGGAACTCGTTGAATGAATGAATGAATCATTAGAGGTCAGTTTGAGTTAGACATGAATAACACATTGGGTGCTGGCTGGTTCGCACAGTGGGCCAGAGGTTAGGCGTTTGATTGCACAAGTCCGAGGGTCCAAATTTCGAATCCCGCGAGGTGCAGGAGTTGTGGATGCGCGCTGACGCTGATAAGTCCCATACCAGGACGTCCAGTGCTTGTGTGTGTTTCCAATGTGGTGGTCTAACAATGTTTGATTGATGGTTTCAGATGTGTAAGATGAATCACTGTTAGACCACCACCGGAAACCTGGAAGCGCAGGATGGCAGAGAATCGCATCCACGACTCACTCTACTTGCATGAATCTAACCAAAGACCTACCGTCTTGAAAGCGAAGGCTCAACCTCTGAACCTTTTGGGGATGTTAGATCCCCAGAACCTACTTGATAAATATCTTTATTTTGGATATATTTGATGGAACGATCAGTTGACCTTGAGATCATATTTCCAACCAGGAAAATCTTTGGCTGTGATTGGTTACTGTGTCATTTTAGCGTGCTACTTTTGTGACTGTTCCAAGGACATCTCTTATAAATAAACGCAATTTGAGTGCTTGGATTCATTGTGTGCTGGCTGGGCGTCTATATAATACAATTCCTACACTATATCATGACTTCTTGCTGATTCAATTTAGTCAAGGGATCATAGTAGCCCACCCGGACTCTGGGTCATTGTCTCGTTAGCGTTTATCTACTAAGGTGAACACGTAATAGTTTCAAGCGTATCTAGAGACGAGCATAACAGAACCACAGATCAACCTTAGGATTTTGTACGACCTCACCCATTGTGTTAAATAGTTATTGTCTCTACACCCGAACAGGTTTGAATTCCATTGGTCATGTCTTCTCATTAGGTTTTCGAGAATTTCCTCATGAAGCTAGTCACCATTAGTGGTCTGAATGTACTATTGCATTCCAATGTTGAAGTTCACCTATCGGAGGAGTTACCCATATAATATTTTCAGTCTACAAAACCACCAACATTGTTCAATAGGTAGATATGAAATGATTAGCTAAAGTCTAATTTAACATAGTGTTTATAATCAGTTGATATCAGCCAGTCAGTTAGTCAGTTACAACATAGAACTTCATATATGAATGAGAACATTAGTACAGATTCAGTCAACAGAGTACCACTTCGCTCTTAGACCTTGAGTAGCTGCTGGTTTTTAATCTCATCGTTTTCCAATCAACCTGTCTAGCATGGTAGAACCTACAAGGACATATGTCCTAGCCAATATAGCTCGGTTGGGTCATCACGATAGGCAAGCCCGACAAGCACCACATCAAAGTAGCAGCTACGGTCGGGCTTTGTTGATATACATACATATGTCTCATATTGGTTACTTCATTTTTAATAATGATGTCATAAGTTGTTGTTAATTTGATATGTGGTTCATAGTTCTAGTTGAAACTCAACAGCTGGATGTACTGTCGTCCAATTCAATATTGAAATTCATACAATGATAGTGTAATTGTAATTACGTCTGTTACTCCTTGATTTTGAACAATTTGGTCTCATGTGTTGGTACGGGTATGAGGGCGGTTATCACTTCCCGGCTGCCCACACCATGGAAGGTTGTTTCTCGAGGAACCTGAAAAGGAAGATAGATTAGTGTTGGTCTTTGAGACCTGGAAGCGTGACCGCAGAGCCTAAGGGAAAACTGCTTGAGGCCGGTCACGCACGGCCTTTTTATGAAGGGTTTTTTTAGTATTAGCTCCGCTCTTGAAAGCCCTTATTGGGCAGCCCTTATCGCCGGAGACGGAAATCCATGAGGTAGGATGAGGTGTGACATTTTTAGGGTCAAACTTTTCTAACACCTTCCTTCCTTGTGAGAAGGCAGCATCGCTGCAGATGCTGGCTGCTCGAGGGAAACACCTTACTGCTGTCACACCCTTCGCCCTGAGACCTTGAGTAGCTGCTTTTAGTCTCATCGTTCTCCAATCGACCTGCCTGGCATGGTAGAACCTTCAGGAACATAAGTTCCAGCCAATATAGCTCGGTTGGGTCATGACGATAGGCAAGCCCGACCACCACGTCAAGGTAGCAGCTTCGGTCTTATTCATCACCATTATTACCTCTACTATCTCTATCAGCATGGGATTCGATTTGACATTTGCGTCTCTGTGCTAATGTGGTGTGGCAACATGAACTTATATACATACGTACGAAGTTCTACGTTGCAACTGACTGAGTGACTGACTGTTACTCATTAATGAGGTAGAGGCCGCCAACCGGTGAATTATTTCTCTGGTTGGCGGTTCTTGTTTTATAGAGAGTTGAATTTCAACGGGGTAGGGTCGCTAACCTGATGCTAAAACCCTCCTCCTTTATACCTGGGCAAGGGAACCGGCAGTAACCGTAGAAAGGCTCCAAGCGGAGTTCAAGTCACCGACTTGTCTCTTGAGTGCATCTTTCTAACAGTTTCAATTGTGTTATTCTATCCTTATGATGTCTGCTTCCGATTACGGGTGTATTAGGTTCTTTGATCTTAAGTATTTCAAGTTGTGTAAGTTACTCACAAGGTTGGTTATGAGTAGTGTTAGTAGTAGTAGTAGTAGTAGTAGTAGTAGTAGTAGTAGTAGTAGTAGTAGTAGTAGTAGTAGTAGTAGTAGTAGTAGTAGTAGTGTAGTGAAGGAGAACACAGGTGAGGGCAACCGAATTGTATTTAACGAAAATTACAGAGTTACTCAGTAAAATAGGAAAACCATATCGTAAACCGTTGTTAATTTGCGCAAATCTTCAATCCATCATCAATCCATTGTCTGACATTTCACTCACTATTCATGCGTTTCATACAAATTCAATTGTGTTTCTCCCACTCTTCCTTTCTTGATTTCTTCCCCCATCTTCTGCTGCCAGACATTATGTTTTTACTCGCGTCATATACTACTTATAAGTAGCTCGCACCACAGTAGTCGGAGCAGTAGTAGTAGTAGTAGTCGGAGTAGTAGTAGTAGTAGTAGTAGTAGTAGTATGTAGTGAAGTCTCCCTTGAAAATTTCTCACGAAGTCAACAGTTCAATACATATAATCAGAAAACTTGGAAACCAAAACAAAAGTTATGAAACGTAGACTTTCACATACTTGTATGTATATAGATGACTAAAGACATACATGCCCACATACGCACACACACACACACACAAACACAAAGTATGTATTTTGACAACAATATCTGTTCCATCCAGGTGATTGTCTATATTCGAATGGAAAGCTTATCACAACTAATGAAGTTTAAACAACAACTAACTGGATTTTATGTCTTCCATAGTAACTAAATTCTATTAACCTTAATTAGTTTGTTATATAACAAACTAATGAACAGCATGAGATTCAAAGTTAGTCCTGTAGAAGGTTAAGCATTTATGTGTGTGTTACGTTCGTCTCTAGGTATGTGTGAAACTATTACGAGTTCACCTCAGTCGATAAACGAAAACAAAACAAGGTAGGTAACTGTGATCCCTTGACCCAAATGTATCAGTAAGAAAGTGTATTCTACAAACACAGCCCAGCCAGCACACAATGAATCCAAGCAATCAAATTGCGTTTATTTATACTCTATAGAGACGTCCTTGGGACAGTCGCGAAAATAGCACACTAAAATGACACAGTAGCCAATCATAGCCAAGAATTTTCCTGGTGGGAAATGTGATCTCAAGGTCAACTGATCGGGATATTTATCAAGCGAGTTCTGGGGATCTAACATCCCCAACAGCTTGAAAACAAAGGTTCTGGGTTAGATTCCTACTTGAGGAGTCCAACGTGACAATTAAATGGTCATTCAGTACTTTCATATTTCTAACCATAGTCTAGCTAAGATTAGTTCGTCATTTCAAAAATCAAAATCTGCACAAACTGATTATACTACTTCAGAGAAATATTGATAAATAGAGATTGCTTTCATGATAGGATTGTAGAAGTTGTTGAGTTACTGTTTGAAATCTTGAATCGATCAATGTTATACCTAACCTCCAAGCATTGAATGGTCGTTTCATCTTGTTTTGCTACTCATCAGTAGTGTACATCTATGCCTCCAGCTGGTGAGAACGGAACTAAAGAACTCTTAACCTTTAGATTTCATAAGTAACTCAACAATTTGCGCAACTATACAGTGAAAATTATCATGTTCTCACTAGTGATCAGCTTCGTGAGAAAAATTCACGAGTTTTTAGTGAGAAGCCGTGACCAGTGAAGTTCAACCCTATTCGGGTATGAAGCAGTGTTTACTGAAGACAATTGGTGAGGTTGCGCAAGACCGTGCATTGAACGAAGTTAGGATGACATGAACACCGTTAAATATCGACAATGTAAGCAAACCCTTTTTCATCATTTTAAATTGTCTAATTTTAATCTCAACTGGTTGTATCAATGATTTTTTTGGTGTTTTTTCTCTCTAAAATAATTGATTAGTTGGTTGTAATAGAAACCATAAAAATTTTTAATATCCAAAACCTCCGCCCCACCCCTACTATCTCCACACACACACACACAAACAGTAATTCATCTGTAAATC